TTCAAGTTTTTGGAGAGCTACAGGCAATGATCCATTTGAAAATCTTCTCCTTCCCCATCCAATACATCTCTTCTGCTGTTAAATAGACTGTACTTAGAGAAGCCTGAATGTCATCGTTGCAGCAAAGCAGTTACAACCATATTCAAGCTTCTGCCCAGATTAGTGGGAGGAAGCGTACCAGGATGCCTTCAGGACGTGTTCAATTGAATCTGATCTTTAGTTTGAAACACCTCTTCCAGCAGCTCTTCCCATCTTCTTCCCATGGTTAACCCTAATGGCCATTCCTTCCTCCCCTCAATCTGTGGCATATATTCTCTGTTCTGTGTTAGTAGTTAATAACACATTACAGTCTAAGAAGAAACACTCAGAAGAGTTGTTTTTTAATCCATTTAAACTGATTATTTTGAGACATCCCCATCCCACATCATGTTTCAGATTTGAAGCATTCCTTTCTTTACTTACCTTAGAAAATCTGTACAAATCTATGTATGGAAATTTTGTGTACTTTTCTGGAACTTCAGCTTGGGCAGGATGAAAATACATAGATGAAAATGTAAAAGGAAATATTAATGGAGATTTATATGCTCCCCTGAACATAGCAATTGTGATTAATGCCACCATATAGATATTTGTGCAAATGTATATCTATATAGATAGATTCATATTGTAAATTCTTCACTCTTGGTAATTAATAGCAGCCTGCACAAATAGTCTCACTGGGTTCAGGTTTATCAATGCAAGTAATTACTTACCAGTGGGAATAAGAGGGTTCACATTCTAGCCCATAATGAAGTAAAGTACTGATAACATACAGAAGGAAGAAAATTACATTATTGGGTAATTTCTTGTTATAACCAGCAATGCTTACCCTTCATATTTTTTATAACAGCTAAAAACTGCTTTACTATTAATGAAAGGGCAGCTAATAGTTTTCATTATTGAAGTTTACAGGCTTCAGTCTTTAGTTTTCCAGCTATAGAGTGTGATGGAATCATAGTTCATTGGGGTCCAGAGCTCAGTCAAAACATTGCTTTCACTTAATCAGAATCTAAAACCTGATGTGAATGTTGAAAATAAACATTACGTTACTAATGTTATATGGGAAAAATGGAATTATGTACATTACCCTTCAGTGAAACATACCTTAAACACAAAACTGGGATGAACATAAGGAAGGTAGAAAGCTGTTGATTTGTTGTTGATTTGAGCAAACTATTAAACTACATCAGATGTGACTTCAGAGCAATAAATATTGGAAAGCTTTGCAGTCAAACACAGTAATAGATACAGTAAATGGGTACTAAACAAAATATTTATCTGCTTAATACTGTATAGGTAAGCAGATGTCCTTGAGCTGCTGCCAGGCTGTGCTGAAATGAATGCACTATTTCATAAAGATGAATTTTGCAAAAAGTAGGACTTGAGAGACCCAGGCCATTAAAAAACATTACTGTATCTTGACCACTGGCAGTTTGTTACAATAGGAACCATGCTTTCACAGTAAAGAATTTCAAAGAGCTGTATGGACATTTTTCCTAAACATTGTTTAGATGCATGGATGCATAAAGAATTACGCAGTAAATTCTGCGGCTGAGAGATACAACTGGCATGTTACAAACTTACCTACTTACAAGTACTGTGCTGATGGCATTGCTATTCTTGACATTCTAATTCTGCTGCTTTCAATTCTCTTGAGATGATAAACCCCAAACAACACAGTGCCGTAAGCTAAAAGAGAGAAGAAAGATGACTGGTTTTTAGTGACAATGTTCTGAAAGAACGGCAGAGACGTTATATGGTTTGTCAGAGGCCATAAAAGCCTTTATAGAGCAAGTGAATTAGGCTTCCTCTGTTGTTTCTTAACAGATCCAAAACTGATAGTAAGCAGGGTGGTTTCGAACAACTGCTCAGTTTCTAGCTTTTAATAGTTAATGGGAGGTCGGACTATAAGCTGAGATCAATCCCAGAGTAATAAATTTTACATTATTATATTTGTCTTTCTTGAAATATAAACACTAAAGGACCTATTCTCAAATGGCTTCCGACGCATTTTTTTCATAATTAATACAGGAAATTCAAAGAACGTGACTCCCTGTACAGCTTCGACAGAGGCAGATCTGTATTCATCAGCATGGATTAATTAGCCTGTTACCAGACACGCAGTTAGTTCAAAGAGCTACAAAATGGACAGTTTTAAAGAAGGGAAAGCTTTGCCTTAAAAAAACCATAAGCCACATGTTATCATGGATAAAAGATAAGTTTTTTAACTTTGATGCTGATTCTATGTAGTTTAAGATTTACAGCTAGATTTATCCAGCCCTACTGACATTGACCTTGGCTTCAATGCGGCAGCAGTATGGAATGAATTGCTCTTCATTGGTTTATTTGAAGGGCAGTATTTAGCAAAAAACTGTGACAAAGATTCACTGAATAAGAACAACAGAGTCTCTCATTGTTCAGATCTGGAGACTTACTTCTGGGTCATTGTATTCAGTATGACTCCACCATCGCTTGGCAGGCTTTTTCTTTGTCTTCTATATTGGGTAAACACATCTGTTACAACCAAGAAAAGGAGAATTATGCACTCCCACTTAAATCTTATGCACTATTCTAACAGTTTCATCTGTGACATTGAGGTGTAAGGAGTTGTTTTTTCTTAGCCTTCTAATTTTTGTTACTTATAAGAACCTCATTCATGACCTGACACAATATTTTATGAAGTCAACAGAAGGGCTGTCAGTGTTTTTAATGAGCTTTGGATCAAGCCCTCAGTTTTTCATCAACACAGAATAAATCCTTCCGCTACAGACACCAGTGTGACATATACCGTATGAAGGTCCAAACTCTCTCGCTCCTCAATTGGCTCAAGGTTTGAAGTCAACAGTAGCAGCAAAGAGGAGAACTTGGGGACCATCAAGAGTGATATTACCTGTCTCATGTATCTTTGTTTTGGGATGTACTAGAACTGGAGATTCAACCATCATTACTGAATAGCATGCAACAGATTATTGTGCATTGCAGAGCACCACATATGAAGAAAGCAAGGCTGGGAGAGCAGGAGATGAGGTTTTTGTCACACACATTCCTAAACCAGACACCATTTGCCCATGTCCATTACCAAGATTTCTAAGGCACAGCCCCTATCTTCACTACTCTTGCACAATTCTTTACAATGACTATAAACCCTGATTTCACTTGGAGTGTAAGTGAAACCTTAGAAACCTTTTGAGTCACCATCCCTGGAAGTATTTAAAAGACGGGTAGATGAGGCGCTTAGGGACATGGTTTAGTGGGCATGGTGGTGTTGGGTTGACGGTTGGACTCGATGATCTTGGAGGTCTCTTCCAACCTTAATGATTCTATGATTCTATGATTCTATATCAGATCTGTTATTGTGTTTGTCTTTGCTAAAGAGAGTTGACAAGTTTTCCTAAAACACATGCAGGTTGGTATTTTGCCATCAAGAGAAAAGCCAAGAGATCTATTTGAAGCACAGTGCAATCCTACAAGCGTGTTGATACAAAATGAGCTTTACAGTTTCTTAAGTGCTATGCACAGTACATAAAATATGACAAATTGATGGTACTAGAAAAAACTAATGAGTAGGTATGTAATTCCATAAAGGAAAAATAATGTTAAAGATAAATATAGGATACCTTTTCAAAAAGAGCAGGTGACCTTTTTGCTTTGAGACTGACACAAAGCAGTCTCGCTCAGCAGTAGAGTAAGATTTTGAGACATCTGGAAGATGAAGGAGTGGTGTAACTGTACAACCCTTCTTGTTTTCAGCTTTAAAAATCTACACGTTCAAGGGATTTTAGAGCCTTTTGTATGCTCACAGCATTTTTGGTCTATCTTGAAAGAAAGTAAGAAAATGACAATTATGTTGTTATGTACTATCTCCTTAGGTGGACATGGGAAGTATGTAGTGAGAGTATTGGGTGGAATAAATTGAATTGCATTTAATAAAATGGAGAGTAGCCACGCAGTGAGCCAGCTTAGAACAGCTAGTAAAACTAGACATCTGTATTTACAATGCGCTGACATATCTCCCTAAGCTTTGACCTATCTTCATAGAAAAGAAGTGGACAGCTTGTAGTTACTTTATAAATGAAAGATCAAGTGCATGCACAATTTGCCTGCTCTATGCTGTTGTTAGGATACAAGCTTTAAATGGAAAATGTCTGGATATGCTGCTATTTTAGTTCGGAGGAAATATGCTGGTGATGAGGTTAAGCACCTGAGCGCAAAGTGGTTTTAGATTACAACGCTTGTTTAAAACAGATTATAGATTTTGTAAGTGCACATTGGATATAATGGGCAAAGATTTCCACTCTTATAAGTTATACATTGAGCATTATGCAAATAAACCATTGCTTGCTTAGATGGTAGACGGATATCTTTTTGTCCTGACATGACAAGTAAAGTGTGTTTCCGTTTGTTATCCCCACCTGTCACAAGCTGATAAACCTCAGATCCGTAAAAGTCTTACGAATGTATTTGTTAATGTCTTGCTTCGCTGGGCACAATGATGTATCATATAGTGCATACCATTTTCATTGTGTAAATAAGGAGCTGCATTTTTTTGTCATTCATGAGATAACTGGAATTACTCGATTTCTTCTCCACATAGGCCCAGTTTGGGAAAGCGTTTGGTTCAACTCATCCCTGTTCTGCACATCACAGAAACATGTTCTTCAAGCATATGCTTAAGAACTCTCTTGAATAGATATGCTTTTCTGAATCAGAGCTATGGTATTTTAAGTCACTGCATATGCAATTATGTTATATTCTGTGTTGATTGCACTATATAAAAAGCACTAATATGTCACTTGCTGCAAAATTTTTAGAGATAGACCCCTTCATGCTGAAATATAGTCTTGTTTCTTTCTATGAATCCATTTGTTATATAGAACATCTTGATTTTTGTAGAGCATATGATTTCCATGTGGGTTTGCATTGGTGCAAGTGAGCTAATTATCTCTATTTCTGTTTTACAGCGGGAACAACATATATCTTTAGCAAAGGTGGTGGACAGATCACTTACACGTGGCCTCCTAATGATCGGCCAAGCACTCGTGCAGACAGACTGGCAATAGGGTTTAGTACTGTTCAAAAAGAAGCTGTGTTGGTACGAGTGGACAGTTCTACTGGGCTCGGAGATTATTTAGAGCTGCATATCGTAAGTATTATTAACAAATGCACGATATTTCTTCTTGTCTTGATTGTTCTTTTTTTTTAATTTATTTTAATGTAAATACAGCATTTTGTTAATGAACCTCTTAGGGTCAATAGTGAACTAAATGATAATGGCTTATAGCATATAATACTGTACAGGATCTCAGACATTCTCAAAATGCTTTTTACTTTATACAGTGTTACTTTATATGGCTTTTCAATTAAAAATCATACCGTGATACCTGTACATATATAGCAGTTTACTGCAATCTAATTACATAAAACAGGATTTAGCAATGCCAGAGGAAGGTACATTAATCCTGGAGAATTTAATCTGGAATCTGCTGGGGGAATTACAGTGTATCACAATTGACTGTGCTTATTGTTAATACTAGAATTTATCCTCTGATTTCACCATTCCTTTCTGATGATAAATCTTAAGCAGAAAGCAAGATTGTCAAGCTAGGGAGTCTCAAAAAGTAATTTCAGCTGCCTTAAAGCAAATAACTAGCAATCAAAATAGAAAGCGTCTGGATTTTTATGGCAACATAAATAAATGATCAGTTCAGATAAACTTAACTAGGGCAGTATAAAATTTTGTTGTTTAGATTAGTCTCAACTTTGTTAATGTATTAGTTTGATTTTGATTTAAGAATCTCTCTACTTTCAGGAACAGAAGAGTTCCTTTTGAATGAAATTACTTATTGATCTATAACCAATTACACTTTTACCCTCAGAAAACATTCAGCAGTGATCATTTTCAAAATTAGAGGGAATTACGGTATTCAATCTTCCCAGGCTCCTTATTTCTGTAAAGGCACTCTTGCATTGTGGACCAAGGTGATTTTTTTTAATTTACTGGCTTGAGTAAATAAACAAAGAAAGAAGGCCTTAAATAAAATTCAGAGGTTGTCTATACCCTTCTTTTACATTGAAATGGATAGACAAAATGGCTGGCTAGTATTGTACAATCTTAATTTAAAAATGTGAACAAAGCAACTTTTCCCAGGTGTCAGAAAAACTGAGAACCTACATTTTTCAAAGCAAGTATTGTGTTGCTGAAGAGAATTTAAAAATTTGCTTTCCAAAGCCAATTCTAACATCAGGTGCCTAGTCATCATTTGCCTGTTTCTTTGCGACCTGAGACCAGATCCACCCACTGTGGTCAACAGTGTTACTTTCTTCTTACAGTGTTTTCTTTTCATTAGCATATTAAGGAATGTTTTTCTTGCAGTTTTACTATACCTGAAGTCTATCAAAACCATAATATTCGTGCAATCTTTTGTCTAGCCTTGATTTTTCCATTTTAAAACACACATTGGGTTCATCAATTATGAGTTGGAGATAAAAAATTATTGCCTGTTCATAAGTGGTTGTTTTGTTTTTTTTTTCCCCACAAATAACTTTCTTATACCCGTGCTATAGCAACAGATGGTAGAAATAAAAGAATAATTGAGAGTTTTCTATGGTCAGAAACACTACCAGCTTAATAGGGATGGGGAAAATCATAAATTATACTTTACTGGTCTTTTGAAATTTCTGTTAAGCAGCAAAAGGCCTTTTATCATCATGGTCTGTGAGGTGACCCTGGCTTCCTCCACGGTCTTTGCAAGAGACTTCAGGAACCTCCCCGAAGCCTTCTCTGCTTCAGAGCAAAATCCGTGATAACTGTGCAGCAATTTCACTGGAACGAGGTCTGACCTTCTGAGAGCTGCTTCAATGTAGTCTCTCTCTAGCGTGGAGACACTAAGGGATTGACCTGAAATCCTAAGACATCTGGCAAGGATTTTTTTAAGGGTCGTCAATGTTAGATAAAGCTTGGAAAACTGGGATATAATTTCCCGGAATCTATTTCAAATAAGGATAGTATTCAAAAGAAAGCTGAAAGGCAGTATTTTCAAAAGCACTCATGGTACCAAAGAACATATACCTTACTCAAGTCAGTGGAACTGTAGGCACTTCTGATAATTTTACCTGAGATCTATTTTAGCTCAGCAAGATATTGTGAAACATCACGGTTATAAAAATGAGGAAGAACATAGAAACAGAGAGGCCTATGTAGATATTATATTTGAAAAATAGTTTATTGGATCGAAGTTTTTCAATATTGGCAGCTACTGCATTAAACTAGCTGTAATAAAAGTAGTAGGAGGGTTGTGTCGTTCAAAACTTCCTTCTTGCATCGATGTTGAGGTGCCACTGAGAATGTTTCATCTACTGAATAACCAGAAACATGCAAAAGCTGTGAATAGTGGAAGGAGGGAAGAGTCTAATTCTGCATGTTCTTTTGCATGCACCCGCTCAGCTGTTTGTATAATGAATATGCATGAGCAATAAATGCCTGTGTACATTGAGATGCACTGTGCATGGATAACTTACCTGTGTTATAACAAATATAACATTATAACAAGGATATAGTTGTGATTTAATTATGCTGGGATTCAGTTTTACAGTATGATAGAAACTGGTTCTTTTGTTACTGAGCTTTCATTTTACCCAGGAGATCATTAGTTACTCAGATCCTCCCCAGTGACAAAATTTGGGACAGATGTGTAAGGATAGGTTTTAAGTGTATTTTCAGAAGAATGGTGGCAAAGCAAGTTTGAACTATTTCTTTGAGTTAAAAGATTTTAGACCGTAGTCCTCACTAGCATGTTGGGGAGGGTGCTTGTTTGGAATGTTTCAGAACAGAGCCATGAGGTAGCTTGCCCTTAACTGTCTTCATTCTAGAAATGGAAGAGGAAATTATGAGTTTGGCTATGGTACCTCATTGCGTGCTTGCCCTCTTTATTATTCTGTTTACTTAAAGACGATGTAAACCTAATAATGAAATCAAGCTCATAACAAATTCTGATTTGGAAAATTGCTACTTGTTCATCTGAATCACAGCTTTAGTGTTAGGTTAGGAACACATTTATTTAAAGTAATCATTTAACATCCCCAAATAACCATTGTTGATATGAGAAACATTTTAAAAAAATGTGTAATCTGCATTGCTACCAGATGCTTAACAGTTCCAGGGCAATATTTTAAATTCCAAGATAGATTATTATAAAACTCCACCTGTACTGTAGCAGCCTAGATATAAAGGCCTGGTTGTGTGTATGATACATATGCATCCCTGTGCTTCAAGAAAGGGATGTTAGTATGGTTTAGTCATCCAGAGATGCAGCAATTAGTTTTCACCGCAATCACTTGACTTCTGTTGTGGAAGTGGTCTCCTGTGCAGTCTCTGCTGGAAGATCTAGTTCAAGAGGAAATAGATATCATGCCTAAAAGTCTACTGCCACTTCCTTCTCCTGTTGACAGATAAAAGAAGGACAGATAGCTCTAAGAATTACTGTAATCCTCCTTTTTTCCCCCCTTTTCTTGGCATGGTCCACATCCATCTCCATGCCAAACGGAAAAGGCGGCAGCTTATTCACACAGTGTTCGGTTCATCACCATGTGCACTTCTGTGCTTGGCTTTTTCATTGACTTCTAAAGCCCTCGGGTAATTCTGTCAGTGATTCCTGTTCCTATCTCTGCTCTTCTTCTCTTCCCAGCTTCTTCTCCCAAGTCATTAGACAGAAAAGTGTGTGTGTGTGTGTGTGTATATGTGTGTGTCATCGTCTTCCACAGGCACTGTGCTGTTGCTGCCTCAAGTTTCCAGCTTTTCTATGATGAGGAACAAAGTGAAGTTAAAGATATTGCCTTGAAGGGCTAAGAAATCCTGTTAAATTGCTCTTTCTGGCAATGCTGGTAGCAGAGGGAACTTCCATTCTCCTGTGTGGCACAAGTAGTATTTGCTGTACTAATGAAGACAAGAAGGATAGATTTCCATCAGTAGACTTCAACCATTTTTAAAAATTGTGTTAAGTATAAATTATGCCATGTTTTCATCTTTCATTGTTAAAATGAAAGATTTTAAACTATAACTAAATGTAACATTTTGTATGCCTGATGGAAAGAGTCAGCAGTTTCTGTGTCTTCCTTGTTTGTGTCATTTGTTTTAAAATCGAAGTATTTTGTGATCACAAAACCAGTGCTGTTTTTATGGTTACAGCTGATTTTGAAATTGAGAACAAGAAGTTTGTATGTGGGATAAGACCAGCAGAGCATTTCAGATCTTACCGCTTTGGTGTTCCAGAAAAGACAGCCGGCCTATGGGGCACTAGCTACTTAAGCTAAACTGGGATCACTTCTATTATCTCAAGCAGGGCGAGGAATTACTAATTAAGCTCAGTTACAGATATGGATCTGCTGAAGTAGGTGAAGTGGTGAAGATCGTTCTGATAACAAACATCCTAAGGTTTAAAAATAAGGAATAAGGCAGATGTGGCAGCATTTTGAACATTGTCCTAACCCTCTTCTATGGGAAGCTGAGGAAAAACTCCCTGTAATTCCAGCAAGAGAAGACTGACAATCCTACCTAGGATATAGTAAACATACAAAAATAAAAAGGAATTAAACTCAGGGTAGATTGTAGTAGATACTTTTATTTCATGCTCTTTAATGTTATTAGGAAAAAATATTATAGGGAAAATGTAAACCAATACAGTTAATACTGTGATGGGAAAGCATGGAAAACTATTTTAAAAGATGTGGTAACACGTTACCTGAAAAAGTATTGTATGATTAAGGACAGATAGTATCAATATATGCAAGGTATAACACAATTAACCTGAAATACTCTGAAGATGCAGCATTACTGGCATGATAAATTAATCAGTATTGTACTTAGATTTTCAAAATATGCTTGTGAAGCCTTCAGAGTTACAATTAACAACTGAGGTGAACAGTCATAGGAGAGGAAATATTGTATGTCTTACAGAAAATTGGGGTTTGGATTGTGAATAAATTCAGTTTGTGCTCTTTGTCCCAACTGTTTATATACTACATCTATTAAAATATATATTGTGAGAAAGGCATTTTTAATTTGAAATTTTTTCCATGAGGAAGATGTGGATAAAAATCAAGTGAAAGCTTTTGTGAGTTTTTGTCAGCTTTGGTTCAAAAATTCTC